TAGGGGATTACAATTAAAATGACAAATATAAAAGAGAAAGAGGTAGACCAACAGAGGAAGAAGAAAGAGAAGTAGAAGAGGAGAAGAAGAACAAATAAGAAGAAGAAAGGAAGGAGAGGAGAAACTGATTACCAGAGAAGAAGACCGGTGAAGAAGACTGGAGAAGAAGAACGCAGCAGGGAAGAGCTGCAGGAAGAAGAAGGAGAAGACAGGAGATGGGAGAGGGGTTTGGCAACAAGCCGATTCATCAATTCACGATCCTTTCCAAAGAGGAAATTAGACTATATACCCTAAATATAGGGTCATTTTGAAAAATCATGTAAAAAGTAATTAAAAAGTATAAAATACTGCATTTTTACGTTAATTTTAGCCAATCAACGAACTAAATCCTAATTATTTCCCACTTTCCTCTGTCTCTCTCTCTACTCCCCCTCTATCTTCATCCAATGTTCTAGTGAGGAGTTAACAGAATCCCCAGCAATTTTATACCCATCTCTCGCAAAGCTATCTCTTTCATTACCTTCTGCTTTATCTCTGTCAACATCTCTTTTTTCTGATAGTCGGATTCCTGAATGCAAGTCACCAGCATTTTCGTTTTTTGGAGAAGCATCTTCTTTATTGCTCCCTACTTGGGTCTCCAACAATGGGTCTTCTAACATCTGGTCATCTCTTGCCTTTTTTGAGCTCACGAGAACTAGGAGAGTCAAAGGTGATCTTTTGATAGCCAACAAATATTGAGGTCCTTTCCTTGGGTCTCCAAACATGTGGTGTTTTTTCGAAGCTTTTATCCGAGAGATCTTCATGTGGTGGCCAAAAATTAATTTTCGCCACTGAAATTGATGTGGTTCCTGTTTTAATTTGTAGGCATGTTTTATTTTTTTTTAAAAATGTCATTTACTTTGTAAAAATAAGCTTGCTTATTCTCTAGGCTTATCCTGACATGCTCTTAGTGACAATATTAAAAACCTTGATGTATTTTCTACTTATGATTTTCATTGTTATGAATTTTTCTATGGATAAAGGTTTGAACCTCATCACTTTGGATTGCCCTTTTATTGAGAAGCACTATGTTGATTTATCTGCAAACCCCTTCTTCAATAAGCTTGTCTACTACATTATCTCAGACTTTTTCGTTCAAATGGCATGGAAGGGTAATAATGTGATGATTACTATTAAGAAGATTATTGGAGATGCCTGCTCTGCTGAGTCTGCTCTTGTGATTATGCCATCAACATTGGCAGGTTAGATAGAATCATTCTTAATTGTGTCAATAAGACTAAGAATACTATTTTGTTTAAACAGACATGTCTTTAAGGTAGATGCATATTGCCTGAACATCCATAACCTTTTGCAGTAACGTAATTCAAGGAAGGGATTCGGTTGAGAGTGCAATGAAGGAGATTGCTCTTTGGTTCCCATAAGGAATTGCAAAATGGAAAGCAGCATTCACCCTTGGATCAACGAGTGATGCTTCGTTATATTAAACAAGAATTACCATGTATGGCTCAATCGTTATTGTTGTTTATTTGTAACTGTAAATTCCAAGTGTTGACGTCAAATTTAATTTTATAAACCTTGTTGTTCCAGAGATGATGATTGTGATAGTCGACTGAGAGTTGTCTTTGTAGATGCTTAATTACTATATCTGCAATTTCTGCTTGCAACCATTTAACACCGTTTTTAGTGTTTGTCACATTTTTTTTAAATTTTTGTTACTTTTTTGAATTTGTCTCATAAACTTGGAAAAGTTTTACTATTTCTAAATTTTTACTAAAAGTCTTAATAGAGTAAAGTGGATACTAATTATTCAAAAAGAAAATCGTCATCATGCTATTTCTCATTTTTTTTAAAATTTTGTCACTTTTTTTTAGGTTTTTGTCACCTTTTAAGTTTTTGTCACTTTTTAAGAAGATAAAAAAAGTGAAATAATATGTTATATTTTCCTAACATAATCAGCATGTGGATTGGCCTGGACATGCTGATTATTTGAAGAACATGATTACTGGTGCTGCACAAATAGATGTTACTATTTTGGTTGTCACTTTTTTTTGAGTTTGTATCACTTTTTGAGAGAGTCACTTTTTTTTAGCTTTGTCACTTTTTTTTGAGTTTGTGTTACTTTTTAAAAAAGTGACAATTTTTATAAAAAAAGTGACATCGTGTCACTTTTTCATTTTACACAGTATTTTTTACTTCCTAAAAACCTTTCATATGATTTTTCAAAATATCCACAATTTTAAGGGTATTTTTGTAAGTACCCCCTTTCCAAATGCAGACACAACTATATATAGACCCAAACAACTAGTCTAAAAGGCTTGGGCTAGCCCACTAAAATACAAGCCCAATTATACAAAATAAAAGTAAATGGCCCAATTGAGTTGATACCAGAGTAAGAAATTTATTTATTGAACATAAATGTGTTAATTTTCTCTGTGAGATACTTCTGGCTTTTTGAAACATGACTTCATGATATTGCTCCTTTTTAATTGTAATGCAGATTATTACATTGAGAATCGATCTTAAACTTTTGACAATGTTTCCATTTGATTCGTCGAAGAAATTGTCGTTTTCACGCTACATAAGTGATGGCGATTTGGTAATAGTATATGAGAGACATGATAACATGAAGGCTGTAAAAGTTTCAGAAAGCCGGGTTCTGCAAAATCGTTTCGGTGT